CCAGCTCTGCAGCTGCACAACCTGGCACCAGAGCTGGCTTGGATCTGCTGGCTGCAGATCTGAGAACAGCCCTGGGCCAGGGCAGCCCTGGAAGAGCTCCCAACAGAAGCTGTGTCCCAGGTTATAAGAAGTTTTCATATAGGCACTTCTCTAACTCTGCTGGTAGTCTAGATTTTCCAGTAATGTTAGTACCTTTAGCATTATCTTCTGATTTATTTCACTGAGCACAGGCTGTATATTAGACTTTCTAAAATGTAACAAACCTGTTTATTTAGGATATGCTGATAAATAGCTCCAATTATCCCGATGTAGCTCATGACAACACTTCTGGGAATGAAGTCTCTATAAACACATGCAGCATTGTACAGCTCTAGTCTCAGTGTTGGTTTCAAGAGACTTAACAAAAGGTAGATGCTGAACCTCACATCCTCATAGGAAAAGTTTGGTGATACTTTACTTTGAAAAGACAGATAATATGAAAGAACAAAGATACAGTTTATTTTGGTGATATCTAAAGGAAGACTGTTTGTACAAAATGCTTTTTTACAGATCATTGTGTATTTTTACCACCATTATGTGAACTGCTAAAATTAAACCTCTGCTTTGAGTGTTGTCTGTTCTAAATGGCTTGAAACTTTTTCTGTTTCCATAGGAAATAGCAGTCTTCTTACTTTAATTTTGAAGCCATAAAGAAAGTGACTAAAATGCCTTTTGATCTGTAAAATTTCTAATGTCTCACACTGGCATTTTGCAGCAAGAGAGTATTCAGCCATTAGGATTTTCACCTTTGTTTTGGATTTTATTTTGGGTTTGTTTTCTTTGACATTAGGTGAACAGAAATAGGTAAGTAAAAGGGAGAAGGAAGAATTACGTCCTTACCTACTGAGAAGCAAGATTGCAATATTGGGAAGCACTGCAGATGCTAATTTCAAAATACTGTCATTCTTCACAGTAGTTGTGGTAAATTGCACATTTAATGATCCCAGTCTAATCTTGCTTACTGAGGCAATTTAACTTCAGAACTTAGAATTTTTTCTTGTGTTTAAATATCAGATCAATTTCTTTCTTTTTTATATATAGCTATTGAAGGAAAAGCTAAAACTAAATTAGCAATAAAACTTAACAAGTTTCAGAAGCTGACCACCCTCATTCTATTAGTTCTGTGTGGTTCATGTTTAGTTACAGTTTCTGTTGTTTTTTTTTCTTTCCCATTTCATCTGGGATGAAAAGTCTAAGAATTTCTTCAGTTATGATGGCCATTATTTGCAATAACAATAAAAGAAGATTATAAAATGTAGGAAATAAAGAAATGCAAATTACCATTGGTGACTGGACAAATGTATTTAACTATCATATTCCATATTCTAGGGATATTTGTGTCAGCTTTCTCTGAAGGCAAAATGGTAAAGTTAAAAGAGACGTAATCTCCAATAATAAGGAAAAAAGACTTCAGAGCGTGTGTTGCTGCTGCTTTTCATATAAGGAGTTTTCTTACAATTAAATTATGGTTTTAAATATTTTTACTCTGTCTGTTGCTATATGGCTACTCATATCATACCTATAAATTGTAGATAAATTCTGAAAAGGTTGAACCACAACATAGTTCCACTCTTACCTTCAGTCAGTGGAGAACATTTTCTTTATAGCAGCAGCTGATTGAGCGTAGGAGATGTCTGGAATTTAATCAGTGTTCTCTGAAGATTTACAATCCAGCACTGTCTCACTCAGGTTTCTCATGATACCAACTTTTCCTGTATAAAAATAGCTGCATTTAAAAAAAAAAATAAAAATAGAATGAAGAGATCATTAAGTGATTTTGGGTGGGAGGGATGTGTGTTTGAACCAGAACTCATGAGAGGCTTTTGTAAAACCCACTCAGCATATAACAACAGATCCCAGTAGGGAATGCTGTTCATGGAAGTGAACTGGTGTGGATGGAGTTGTTTAATAGCAAGAGAGATTTAGCTGATACTATTTTAAAATGCCTGTATACGTTGAAGACTGGAGGAAAGGTGATGGGCACATCACATAAATCTTTGAATTTCACAACAAAGAAAGAAATATTATTCATTGTATTTGAACTCAATCCCACCTGCCTGAGAGCTGAAATAAATGGAGAGTCCATTTTTGGTTTTGGTTTGATATATGTTATCCATGGTAATGCTAAGGATGGGGATGAAGTGAAAATTGTGAATTGTCACATAAAGGCTGATAGTGTGGTAACTCTAACACAACTAAAAGATAGAAAAGCTAGAGGATGAGGATTTAATTTTTTTTCCCCTATCCTTTCAGAGCATAGCTTGTCTCTTATATACTGCAGTTTAGGCCCACAGTTTATCCATTCATGCCACCTTCCCAAGCAGCAGGTCAGATCGAGGGTGCTGAGAAGATGTCGGGAGGGTTGTACTAAAATAAAAAGTCTACTTAACAATTGAAAAAAAAGGAAAAATCTCTAACATTTCTCCAAGTTTCTGTATGATAACAGTAAGTCAGATCATTTAATTGAGATGTCCTAGATAGTTTTCTTCCCAAAGGGCTTTTGATACAGAGCTTCTGGATGAGAAACTGAAGAAATAAATGGCTGAATTTTATCCATCAGTCTCTGTAGAAGTTTTTATGTGTAATAGTCACTAGTGTAGTATTTGCTGAATCTCACTAACTGTTTAATCTATAGTTTTATACCTGTTTAAGGTTAATTTTATTTTATGATTTTATTTTTGATTAGAGTTTCAGTCATCCAAAATTTGATCTGTCCAGGTTAACTGTTGAGTAGCAAGTCAAAGAAGGGGATGGTTCCCAATGAGCTCATTGTCTGTGATTTATTCAAATAAATCACTTGGTGATTATTTATGAGTTAGTTATTCATTTCCAAGCAAGGTCAACACTTTGAGAGTCTAAAATAAACAATAACCATATTTAAGAATCTAAAGAAGAGAGAAAGTATGTGCAGTTAGAGGGAATGATTATTATAATGAAAGTATGTGCAGTTGGAGGGAATTTCAGTCTTGTTTTTTGACAAGCATGGACCTTCAGTTCTTCATTCCTATGAACATTAAAGAAAATACTTTCTTCTAAGGGCTTAAAGTGAATGTCTAAATATTTCAGGAATGTACAATGATCTCCAAAGCACTTAAATTCATTATTAGCAAAGGAAAGTACTTCATGACTTTGTGGTTGCAGTAGGGATTTGAATATAAAATTTTTGAATTTCCAGGCTTGTTTTATACCATAATATGTTTAATAATTTTGGCTAATTCTTTAATTCCCTTGAAATTAGCTTCTTAATTGAGGATATTTTCCAGATCCTTAACTTCTACTGAAAGACAATGGAAAATTTGATTTTTATCACTTTGACACACAAAAAGTCCATTGACAGAGTGTTTTAGACCATTAAAAAATTTATTAAGGAGATTAAATTATTGCCTCCAGTAACTGCTGAGTATAACAATATTCTTTTGACCTAGCAGTTCCAAAGCACATATTCAAGTCTCCTTGGGCACTGTGAAAGTTCTCAGTGCTGTCTTTTAATTGTATTTTTTGAATCATTACATTATGGGGGTGATCATTCTGTGCAATTTTACTTGTCTACTAAGAATCTGTAAATCTTCCAGAGCTCTCATTTCACTTCAATAAACCTTTTCTCATTATTACATTATTACAGAAAAAAAAAAAAAGATAATATAGAAAATTTATCAAGCCAACATTTTTACTTTTTAACATTGGAATAATTAATTTTTAGTTATTGAAATACTATCTGTATTATTGATGCTTCAGGCAAAACATGTAATAGCTGTGCTGTAAACAAACAAACAAACAAAAAAGGAGTATTAAATTTGTAATACTCAATTACAATGACCCCATTGGTAATCCTGGTGGGTTTTAGTGGATCAGACAAAGCCTGGATAGTTGATGAGCAAAAGCTGGGCAAAAGAATCACTGAATGTGCTCTCCTTGTAAATTAATTTCTCCTTTGTAAATTAATTTCTAATGCTTCTTCTCTGGCAATACTCAGCCCTCCTGCAGAATGGAACAGGGGAAGATAGGAGACAATTCTGTGAAAAACGTTTCTGACCTGATCCAAAATATGAGCTAACCATATTTATATCCCTAAAGTTATATTAATTTAAAACTAATAGGTTTTTTTTTTGTATTGAGTTGAAAAAACTGGATTTGATGGAAGCCAAGTAGCAGAAAAAGTTTAGAGGCCTGCATTTGGCTCCATAAAACATGTCAGTGTTAATGCCAGTGCAAACTACTGCAGTTTACAGGTGAGTCACTCAAATTAATGCCAAGGCTGTGACTGATTGCAGAACATTTGAGGTCTTGCCAGCAATTATTGGGTAGAAGGTAATATTTACACTTAACTGAATGCTTCCATTTCCCTATCAGTAAAATGAAGCTTCCTACAAAAGTTATTTTTTAAATTATGAAATTGGCAGAATCTTTTTGTCGGTCTTTCTTTGCCTGCTTTTCTGTTCTGTTATCTCTATCTTCGTCTCATAAATTTGTGCCATTGGCCAACTGATAAGGAATATGATAGGAACACATGGATGTAGTTGATAAAGGTAGAGATCCCAAAGTCACAAAGGCAACTTGCTAAACCAGATTCACCTAGAACAGTTTACACAAAATCATATCTAGGCAGGTTTTGAGTATCTCCAGAGAAGGAGACTCCACAGACTCTCTGGGCAGTCTGTTCTACTGCTCTGTCACACTCAAAGAGGTCTTTCCACATATTCAGATGGAACTTCCTGCTTTCAGTTTATGTCCATTGCCCCTTGTTCTGTTGCTGGGATACTTTAGTCCTACTTGGTCACTCTCAGAAAAAAGTAATTCATAGTGACTCTCAAAGAATAATTCTTTTTCTGCAGATAAAAGATTTCATTTTGCCCCATTATGTTGTTTGTCTGTAATCATTAGAGATTGGCTTATGGGTGAGGAATAAAACTTAATATCCCAATCAAAGTTGTTATTATTCAGTACATTTTTTTCTATGACAGGTCAGAAATGCACAGCATGGAAAAAGATCTTACATTGAAAGCAGAACTCTAAAGGAAAGAAGAGTGATACAGCTATATATATATATACATCAGGCTAGAAAAAAAGGTGAGCTAAAAGAGTTTAAAATTTCCTTGCCTTTCTGCATCAAGATTGCTATTTCTTATAACCAATCTTTCCTTAATTGGAAAATTGTTGCTGCACACTGCAGAAAATGAGAGGTGGATTTATTTCTACATATGGATCCTGTTTAGTTTACTATGTTAAATAAGAAAAAAGCATATATGAAATCTGACAAAAGTGGATGCTTAGACTGAAAAAAAAAATACTTACAGTAACACCAACACAATATACCAATAAAGTATTATATTATTTTTCCATTAAAAAGGGACATTTTCTTCTTATCAAGACATACACAGCATGTTTTGTCATTTCCAAATGCTACAGTTTGTGTAGCTGAGTTCATCAGTGTCCCATTACTGTACCCATGCCACCTTCTTTTCCAACCCCAGCCTCCTATGACAGATTTTCAGAGATTTCATCTGTGCCTCCATCAACAGACATAAATATTTGCTTTTAATATCAAGTCTAAATTTAGAATGCATTTCTCCTTTCACTCTGGATTCAGCAAGGAAAAAATGGCAGGCTGATATCCCACCTAGAATTTATTTGTCTGTAAAGGCAACGCCTTTCCTCAGGGGTCTGGTGTCCCTTCTCGACAGTTTTGCCTACCTGTATGCCAGGCTCCTGTTGTGATAACCACCTTGCAGACTTAGAAGAAAAGCAGGAACCATGCCCCAAAACACCTGATGAGCTAATGGCAGTGCTGAGAGGGACCAGCCAACTGCCTCAAAATGCCAAACCAGTGAGTGAAGGGTAACACAGCTGATTTTCAAAAGGGGCTGGGGACTTCCAGTGTGCTTCTCCCTCACGGGAATTACAATTTACAGTGTGCCAGGTGGAGTCTGGGGGAGTGTCTCAGTGGTGTCAGGAGGGTCTGATGGGGCTGTGATGAGACTCTCAAACACTTAGAGCTCTCTGGTTGATGGTTTCTATCTATGGGGTAATGAGAAATGATTCAAAATCTTTAAATACATTTGAAGAGGAGTAGCAGCAAGTGGTATGTGAAGGTCCCTGCTCTTGGGGAAGTGGATGAAGCAAGGGGAGAAAGGTCCCTGTTACACTCCTTGTCAGCTCCTGTCTTTTCTGCTCGAGCTTCTTTTATAGAGAAAATGCTGGGACATTGCACACAGCAAATTTTGCTGGGCTATTGGAAACATCAGTCCACTAAATTCTCCTGTTTGTCAATGGGAAAAGTAAATTAGAAGAAAAGTTCTTTCTCTCAAGTAATAAAACTTCAATAAAAGCTGGGGCAATGATCAAATACTTCCAACTCAGTCAAACATTTCTAGTAAGTGCTACTCAATCAAAAATCTTTGATTTTGGAAGAAATCATGGCTCTGGTCTCTTATCTGAAGCATTTCTCAAAGGCTTGCACGTCTCAAATAGAACTTTTGCCTTGCTTTTGCCTTGGTTGTTACTAATAACAAAATTGCCTTTGACTCCAGTGGTGTAAAATTAGTCTTTAAAATTTCCTTTATCAAAACTTTCCAGACTTACATATTACAAATTGCTGTAGTGATTCCTCAGCAAATTGATATCAACAAAAATTTCACAGCACTGGGGAGAGAGAAAAGTAGATAACAAATAAGGCTAAATATTACAGTCTTTAGTACATAGCCTTCTCATTGAGATAAACACAAATTCTTAATTCAAAACAGCAGATTTGGCCTAGTGAGACAAACTGCTTTCTGACTCTTCTGAGAGAGCAGGGAAATGAGAAATCCAGTTTTATATCTGCTATGTGCCTTTTTCACCAATCTTGGGAGCACAAACCATTTTTTAAAGTGGACTGCAATTGCCCTTGGCTATACAGATTAGTGCTCAAAACCAGAAAAAAGGCCTGTGTCCCACTTTCAAGTTGTTGACATCTCGTAGTGGCAAAGAAAAAAGGTCTGAAAGGAGACCCAAAATAAAGTAGAGTCTTGGAGGATGAAGCAAGGCCAGAAAATATGTAGCAGTTGAAAGGGGTGGCAGGCTGAAAGTTTGTGTGAGGCTAGAAAAAGAAGAGATGAAAGGGTTTGGTAGACCCAAAGGTCATTGGAGTCCCAGAATAAAATTGAGGCTGAACAGAGGTGGGGAACAATAGTAGACCAGAGAGAGGAAAAAAGTAGAGGCGAAAAGTGGCCTCAAAAGGTCAGGATGCTGGAAATAAACCAGTGAACCAAGGAGTCTGGAGGGTGTCAGTAGAGGCTAAAGGCGGTAGTAGGGAAAAACAGATGGAGGTTCCTGTAATTTCACAAATCTGTTTGCGCAAAAGCATCCCCATGGAAGTCTCCTGGTGTGGGACGACAGCTTGTCCTCCTTAATTCATTTTTTTTCTGAAAACTGCAGGAAAATAATCTACATTAATTTATCCAGCTGAAACTTTCGCTCACTTTACCCTTCACATTCCTGCTTTGGGAGGCATTCTGGGTTAGTCTTTGCTTATAAACTATTAGTATTTTTATGTCCCTAGAGAAAATTAACTCCACTTACTTTTTAGCTTTGAAATTGAGCCAAAGCAGTGGTTTGGTTTTATTGAAAAGGATTTTAATATATATATATATATATATATTGCTATAGCAGAAGAAGAGATTCTGGTCTTCCTCTAAACAGAGAAATGGTGTATGTGGTCAGCAATTATAAAAGCCATACAGCTTGAGTGTACTGGGAGTGGCTGGGATTGTGTTAATTTTTTCCATCATGGCCTGTGATAGTTCTGGATTTGTCATTAGAATTGGTGATAAAAACTCAGTATTTTGTGTAGAACAGGGCTAGCACAATGTCAAGGCTTTTTCTGCACCAGCTGGAGTATCACTGTAGAGATTTCCATGCAGTGCCTCAGAAAAAGAGGATTCTAGGTAAAGCATTTGACAACATTGACACTTAGCACATGGTGATGGTGGCAATGCCTTGGGCTGAGGCTGCAGTACTAACCATCACTCAGTGCAGTTCTTCTGAGTTATTTCATATCCAGGTTTTAGATTTTGGTGGATAATCACGCTTCTGCACAGCAGGAGGGGGAGGAATGGGAATGAAGATAACTGAAGGCCCTGTATCTTGCAGCAGATGTACAGAAATGGTACAGAAGTGGATGTTGCCCCTGACATGCCCAGCATTTAGTAGTGAAGGACATCACACTGTTAATTCCGCACAAAGAATGAATATTTTTACTAATCCACTGCTGCTGCCATTTCGTACAAAGCCCAGTGATCCCTGTCTATTAAATGAGTAATAGGCTCTTGAGAGTCCAGAGGAGATGGAATGAGAGACAAACATGGGGGTATCTCAGGTAAGCGGGGGATTAGAATGTCCTGTGTGTGTGTGGAGGACGGGAGAACAGGTTGTTTCAGGAAAGCATGCAGAGTTATCATGATACCTTCCTGTCTGAATCAGTAAGACTCAGAGCCCTGTGCTGGAGGAAGGATGCAGATTTTCCAAATTTAGAAGTCTGTATAGAGCACATTTTCTTCTTGATGCTTTCCTGTGACAGTCAATTCCAGCTGACAGCAGGAAGAAAAGATGTGTGCTGAATAAACCTTATTATATTAAAAGTTCTATCTTGTAATGTGAAATGTCTGCATTTCTGGGAAAAAAACCCCCAAACAACAAACACCCAAAAAACCAAATCAACCAAGTTTATAATAAGCTGTAAAATTGTAATGTTTTGCAAGAAATGTCTTACAAAAACAGAACCTTCTGTGTTATAAAGAAAAATGTAGAAATTTATTTTATTTTAGAGAATTAAAGATGGACTAATCAGCTTCTGGTTATATTACACTGCTTTTGTTTCTAAACTCTTATTTTCCTCTATAGATAGGACACACAAAATGGTGGTTTTTTTACTTTTTTAAGGGATGCATACTGCACCTCTCAGCTTGACCAGAGCTGCCACTTCTATTCAAACAAAATACAGCTGAAAAAAGGAAAAAAGAATAACAGTGACAATTTAAAATAATTTCCAAGCCATCTTGTATGTCAAATCAAAAGTAGATCAGTGTTTCCCTGTTTAAAATGTAATATAATGCCATAATAATATGGCAGGCTGCAAGTAAAAATAGTCCTTATCCTATGCCCAACATGTATTTGTATCCTATTAACCTATTTCCTTAAGCCTATTAACCTAACCTTTCCTTAAGCATGGGAAACCATGGGATAGAAATGTAACTCATTGTCTGCTTTAAACATATAAGCTGTCCACTGGGGCAAAAATAGCTGTACATGCACCTAAGCCCATAAAGGTAACAGCACAGGCCAATGAGGCAACCATCTGTAGGGTGGCTGGTCAAACAATTAGGAAACTGAGAACTCCTTAGAAGATTTTTCTGGGGCAATTTGAACAAGAAGTGCATTTATGGAGACTTTTAAGCAATTTGTAGAGAGAAGAAAGGATCAAGTTTTCAACACAGGTCAGTGACACAGCTTTTGACTGGCCCAGTCCTTTAAGTAACAGCCAGACCCGTGCAGAGAAAGGTGCTGTAAGTATGCAAAGCAACATTGAAATGCAGGAGTGAGTAGAGGGTTAAGGCATGTTCCTTCACATCCTGGAAGTACATATTTCATGTCTCTGATGTTGAAGGATTTCTTTCCATGGGAGCTATTTCACTTAACTTAGTCAAGAGACCTGAGTACTGAGAGGCACAGGGGCACCTTGAAAACTGACTGTGTTTTATACACAAACTTGAGGAGTATAAGCAACTTTTCAAATAGTGTCATTGTTATTGAACTCACAGTCAGAGGCTGTGCTGATTACTGTCCTAAAAATCTCAGCTGTGCAGAGCTCACATCAAGATTGAGTACCATGTTTCTATGTATTTTAACTGGAATAGGAGAGCAGTGAAGAGGAAAAAACATCATTGGAACCATCAGATTTCTCTTTAATATATATTGTCCTGGCACTAATCTATAAAAACCTCACAGAGGGCTGACTGGCTCTAAACCACCTTGGATTAGCAGTATATCTTTACAAGCTTCTCTACTTTTCAAACTTAGAGGTTCTCCTCCTGAAGCTGTTACAGCTCCAGTCAAATATTATTGCAGCTAAAGAAAAGATTGGAGTGTTTTTTTATTGTAAAAGTATTCTTCACTACACACATGGCTGCCAACTGCTACTGGAAATTATTACCCCCACTTTAAATATTTAACTCAATTTTATCTCGCTTAGATTTTACCCATTAAGATTCCACACTTGGCAAAAAAAAACTTTTGTTAGCAAAAGTCAACAACTGCTTATGTTTGGTAGTTTACATAATTGTAAGGAATAGAGATGGATGAAACTTATTTTTGTTAGTTTGTTCTTTTCCACTGTTGTGAAAAGATTGAGATTCAATGTGCTGCTGTAAGACAATAGTTCCTGAGTTGTGATAAAATACAACTGCCTCAAATGGAACATTTTCACGAGAAATTGATGAAAACCAAGCAGCAGATGTACCAATTACAAAACCAAATGAACACAATACTGTGAGTATTGGAGGTGCCTTTGGAGATATAAAATGATAGTAGTTTTGTTCAGTAGCAGGAATTTCTCTTTACTGCCAGGTTACCTGGAGTGATGTTTCAGAGCCTCCTAACTGCGGTTTTCTGTGCTCAAAAGCCATTAATGTAAGTGCTATGGTGACATTTTCCATGTGAATTGGCTGCTCTGGGGAAGGATCCTGAATCAGCAGCAGTTCCCATGACCAGCCAAAGACAGACACTGAATGACTATAATCCTCCCATCTCCTACAGCTCCTCTTCTATCATTTCCATAAAGCACTGGCCATTCCTCTAACAATTAAAGGGCATATAATAGAAATTTTACTAGAGTATAGAGAGAGGTGGAGCACTTGAATTGTCACAAGAGGCATAAATAATTGCCATAAGACCACTGATCTTTATGTTACTTTACTGTATGGCCTATTACTGAAGTTAACCTTGCTGAAGAGAAGTAACTCAAGTACCTGGCTTCAATTAATTGTCTAGTGAAAAGCAGTGCTAATAAATTGCCCCATTCCAAGGCCGGGCACTGCAAGAAAATCTACTGGTTACATATCTTGAAATGTTCAATTAGCAGAAGTGGTATCCTTGACCTTAAACACATATCGAGCCTTAGAAAATTGTGTTTAAAAAACATATGTAACAGCAAAGCTTGTGAACAAGGAAAGATGGATTAGATTAGACCTTTACTGATACAATACCTTATTTTGGTAGCTGTCTTTCCCTAGAATTCAGTCAAAAGATATTAAATAGCTGTAATTGCATCCTTGATGCTCTATTCCACTCAATGCCAGATGTATATGGCATACATATATATGCTATACAGCACAAAACTCTGTAATAGTTTTCAGGCCTGAATGTAGTTCTGCAGTTCGTTTCTTTATGAGTTTTCTTCTTTTGGGAAAATGAAACCCAGCAGAAGCATACCAAAAATAAAAAGTTTTTCGCATTTTGGTCCTAATATGTGGATTTTATTTCATAGCAATTTTAAAATGCTACAGTTTAAACTATTCATTTGCATTTCCTACTATTCTGACTCTCTAAAAACAAGTTGAATGGAAATGAGCCTAAAACACAACCATACAATATATTAAAGCCAAGAATAAAGGAAACTGAAGCTGAAGCACATTTCTAGCTATCATTCCTCAGTCAAATATTAAAATGGCAATCCATAGTTTGATGATGCAGGTTGTTATGATTTTTTTTTAAGTCACTGGTCTTTTTCTGAATTAATTCATTCAAAACCATTAATATTCAACCTGCAGAGATACTATTAAGCCATACAGCTTCAAGAAAATACGAAGGGTTTTGCTACAGCTTTCTCAATAAAGATTTCTGAATTCTTGCTTATATATTTAACACATTCTCTACTGAAAAGTAGCACTAGGAAAATATAGAGCAAGGAACACATGGAGCTATACACAGAGGGAATATATAATGTTGGTATAATCTTCATGAATTCACTATAAATAACTTCTTTTGAAGCTGTGTATATGTCTCTCTATTATCCAGATGTTGTTATATTTAAATGCAGTTCAATGAAAATCAGATGAGGAGAAGGAATTTCCATCAGGATCTATCTTATTTGCACGAAGTACCATTGCTGCTATTGTTTGTTGGTTTGGGGTTTTTTTTAACCAGGTAATACTGTTAGAACTCTGTACTGGAGATGGTGGGGTAAATCTGGATCTTTGTGAAACATCATGCTGAGCTCAATTCTTGCAGCAGCAAATAGTCCAAGGTTGATGCTGTGTTCTCTGTGTCTGCTCCTGAGCCTTATTATCCAAGTCACTTCCCCAGCAAAGTCAGGTTAATTTGGGGTGAACAGTTTCCATTGCAGGGGCTGATAGAAATGGCACCTGGGAGTTCGTGCCTTTATCCAAACACAGGGTGTGCTCAGGGCCTACTTTGGGGCAATATATTTGTGCCCTTCTGCACACAGGGTAAATTTATCTGAAGCCAGCAAGACTATCACAACTGAGAAAACAAAGCAAAGTACTTAATATCTGGCATTGAGACCTAAAATAGAAAACCAGAAATAGATCTGTAACTGCAGTTCTCTAAACTGTCTGCTAGATCATCAAAATTTGTCTTAATTAGGAATTAACATGTTATTTGAAGATGAGGATTTGCCTTTTTTTTTTTTTTTTTTTAGTTAGTACAATTTTCGATATGCATACTTTAAAAATCAAACCAAAATCAATCAGAGGAAATTCCAGCTCAGCATGTCTGCCTCTGCCAACTGCCCAGAGCCCAGGGTAAGGGCAGAGTGAAGACAGCAGAGAAGAATTTGAGCAGCAGAATGTACAGTCTCCATTTTTCCCCTTTTTCTACAAAATTGAAAATTACATTCAGGGTTCATTTATCCAAAAGTTATTGATTATTTTTCCTCAGGTTTTCTAGAATTGACAAGCTATCAAACAAAAAGGATCACTCTTGCTAAAAAATGGTATGTTTGTTAAAAGAGATGCCATATTAGCAGAATAGATTTACCGCATTTAATTTCTTGGCTTTATTATCATAAAAATTAAAAAAAATTCCAAAAACCAACATTTTCACTACCTCATAAGTCTATCTGAAACACTACCAGAAGTCAGACTTACTTTTAAGCTTTCCTTTTTTCACAGCTTCACTTGGAGTGTGTCTGCTTGGGGTAATCAGAGGAGAAAAACAGCATGAACCTGGAATGTTTGCACAATGTAGTTCAAGCTCTTGTGGACATGGATGAACCCACTTGAACACCAGGGACCCTTCGTGAAAGACAAATGAAGCTGCTCATGAGATCCATGCAGAATAGCTGATGTAGGCTTTTTATTCAATTTGCCGTTTGTTTACATTTATTATCCTTTATCGCAATGCTTGTCTATGTGCATCAACAGTTCCCATGATGGTACAGTGGGAGGCATAATTCCCATTTGTTTGAGTTGTGAATTTCTTTTGAAAAAACCATGAACACAGGACAATGAAAAAGAGCTACTTTTTCCAGCACATCATGAGGGAGTACAGCAGAGTCTAATATTCAACGCAGCAGTGTCAATGCACAGTGAGTGTATGCAGCTCTCAAAACCCCTGGAAAACAGATAAGCACAGTTCCATTCTGGAGGAATATTTTTTGTGACTGAGGAGTCTCAGCATGTAGTAAGTCCCTCAAGCCTGGTTTTCCTTGGTCAAGTTCATATGTTGTATTTTTCCCCTTCCAAACAAATTGTCTCATGTAAGGACCAGATTTTGGTGGATAAGTCAATATTTTTTAATCCTTATTAGAGTCACTCTAAGAGTGCATCTGTCAGGATGCACTGACACTAATTTTCTAGGGATTTAAAACTTTTTTGTCATTGATACAGCACCAAAGCAACCTGCAAATTCACAAAGTTGCAGAGTCTACCAGTGAAGCCACACAAAGGCTTTCAACATCTCTTCTGTATCCTCCAATTGCTTCTAAGGCTCTCTGCTAATTTCAGTACTCGATGTGGCTTCCTCTACCTTGAGGAAGCAGTTCTGGAACTGTCATTGACTTCCTCTAGACAGCTGGTTATTTCCAAGACACAAAATCTCATTGAAAAGCTATGAACCGTCCTCTGATACAATGAGTATTAGTAAAATTTCACATAATTTTTACTGTATTAAGTGTTAAGCAACTAAACAGATAGTTCAAAATCCAATAAAGAGATCATAAAAAAACTGAACAAACTTTTGAAGTTTCTCAAGCATTCAGGAACCACCAAGTGAATATTCTATTTCTGTGACAACTGTGAATTCCTTTCTAGGTATATTTGAGTATTTTTAAGTACACTGAAATTCAGTGATCTCATGGTTTTATGGTTCTACAAATACTGCTTTTTTATTCTGTAGATTTACTAGTAGTTTTGGAAGGAAATTATCCAGGAACTGAAAATAGCAGTGAGGCAAATCAGCCAACCTACTGATCAAATCTGTAGATATAGTGAAGTGTCCCTTTAATTTTTCATTAATTTGCTAAGGACATTTACGAGCAGTATTAAAGCATATGGTAGAACATGTGACCATCAGGCTCCACCATATGGCTGAGCCATGGCTTCACCCTGTTAGCCATCTATCCAGAGGCTAAGTCAGGCCTGGAGTAACCCACTGTGCTCCATGTTGGGGGTTTGCAATCCAGACCAGAACTCTGCTGATGTTTCTCTCTTGCCCCAGATGCACTGCAATTATCAGCTGTTCTAGGAGGGAGCATTGCTGGTTAGGGGAGAAGCAGAACTCTGCCAATCCTTGTGTGTAGAGGTTGCCAGGAAACAGTATTTCTTCTGAAATCTCTGAAAGAAACATAGTTTTGGTTTCTAGAGATTACTTAGGGAAGATATTTGAACTTTTCTGAAAGGAAGAAATGCAAATGAGAGGGTTGAATCAGCTCAGGTTTAAAAAAAATTGAAACTCATGAAAGTCTAAACAAAGGTGATGGTTCTGGTTGATTTGCACAATTGCTCTTGTTAAATGAAAATTAAATAAAAGTTAAACGGGCACAGACTTCTCTTCGTCAACCAAATAGGCTGGAGCTGAGACTTTTAAAGAACCCCATTTAACTTCAACCCCGCTGATTTATCTCATCTATGTGTAAATGAGAAATAGTTGTTGGGGTATTTTTAAAAAGCAGTATATTCACTTATCTCAAACTCGTCAGGTGGGTCCTAGACGTTGAAGCCATTTGCAAGGGAGAATAATTGCTCACAGATGAGGAATGTAGACTTTTTTCTGCAGTCATAATATTGTGCAATATGTGTGCTCAGGGTACTGATTTATTCTGGTTAAAGCAGAAAATGAGCCCATTCAAACATTAGTACCACTGTAACAAGAGACATAGAACAGCCACCATTCCCATCAGAAGTGTTAAGTCCTCATTCTGGATTTCCTAAAAACCTTTCCTGTTCAAATACAGAGATAAACAGAATAGAAAATTAAGTAGAAACATTTGTTTTGAGAATATATAAAAAAAATAAAATAGGAAGTATAAGGGAAGCAAAAGAAAAGAAAGCATTCCTTGAGTTAAGGCTGTCAAACACCTTTTGTTGGCTTGTAAATGAAAGCTTATTCAGCTATTTTTTTCTCCAATTAAATATTTGAGGTCTCCATAGCAACAGCCTTTTTGCAAGATGCGTATATTTCATGATGTGGATATTGAGCAGCTGGAACGGGAAATGCTATAACCATAACATAGGACATTTAGAGTACTTTCTAGGGAAAGAAGGAGTACCTACTGCCACAGAGCAACACTTTTCTTGGCAGTAATGTTAATTTTAAAACTTTGGAATTTTTTTTCTAAAGAAATTATGCATTTTCTCCTCTGTTCTTGTTGTCTTGTGTTGTGTGACATGTGAATTTTAAAAGGTAGTTTCACATAAAAAGTAAAATAAAACTTATTTTTAGATTTTTTTAAGTCGTGATATTACAAATCTATCTTTTCAACAGGTCAAAGTGCTTTTCAAACCACTGAAATCACTGCAGAGATACTAGGTTACAGGGGCTGAGGCTCTGCAGTCAATCTGTCAGACACATTGGTAAAAGAAATTTTAAAATATTTTTTCTCTAGCATGGCTGTTGGTAACAGCTCAGTAGGTGCTGTGCAGTGGAGATAATGCAGGAGCTACAAAATAATTTTGAAACCTATTTTGATAGTTATGTTTGCTGTCAATTATATGAGGACTGAGTTCTAGCTTTTCTGCACAGAGCCCATTCCCAACTGGCAGAGCAGGGAGGAGTAGGAGGAAAGGGTTAATTGAAGCCCTTCAGTTGTGGGGAAGAGAGCTTTGGCATAAATTTGGTGCTACAACTGTATTTGTAATTTAAACCCCACCCAATATTGTGTAGAATGACAGAATGTTTGAGTTGGAAGGAACCCACAACAATCATCTGGTTCTGTGCAAGAGCCTGGCCCTGTAAATCCAGTGGCACTATGAAACCTGAGATAAATCTGCAGAAGTGTAGAGAAGGAACAGTAGACATGGGTTTTGGTCAGCATTTCTGAAAGCAATTTTCTCTTACAGCCTTTTTTCCATATGCTCTTTAGCATCAGGTTCATATATGCTGAGATAGTCAGTATAACTTTCAGATTCCTCCAAACATCTGTGCTTACCTTTAGGCATTTCTGAGCATGACATGGGGAAGGACACCAAGGAACAGGGAACTATTTGTGTGCACCGTGTTCCTGTATTTAAAAGGTGGCTACAAAGAAGAGGAATATTCACTTTTTTGCAAGGAGTCATATGGAAAAGATGAGGGGTGTAGTTAATCCTGGGAAATTTCTATTAGACGTGTAAGGAAAATTTTTCACAGTGAGAACAATTAACCTTTGGAATAATCTCCCCAGAGAAGTGGCAGATTCCTCAACATTGGACACTTTTAAGATTAATCTTGACTGGCTGCTGGACATTCTTGTCTAGACAATGCCTTTCCCAAGAAAGATTGGACCAGATCCTCTTTAAGGTGCCTTCCAACCTGTTATTCTGTGATTCTAGTGCTGGTCCTCAAAGCCTGTTAGATATACACATTCCTGACATCTCACCTTAGAGAACAATGGGTATAAACTGAAACAGGTGAAGAATAGTTTTTCTGAGATCACCTGAAAAGGGAGAACTGATCTGGCACAAAAATTGTGATGAGCTTAGCTTGTTGTAGTCTTCTACAACAGAGGATAAGAGGACAATCTGGCTTGCTCTAAACATTAGAGATACATGGCAGGTGGAGAATGGCTGCCAAGGCAGGAGGGCAGTGCTGAACACAGAAGAACATTTTTAAATGCTGAATCTGAAAGAAATTTTAATGAAAACTTGAATTAGAATTCAGTTCACCATAAGAAGGTAAAAAAAAAAAAAAAAAAAGAGCAGTTGATAAAAGAGCAAAACAATTTTCTTGATAGATAACATAAACCCTGTCCTGTGTTACCTTTTAGTGTCTAAAAAGCAGCTGTGTCCCCTTGCTCCTGTTGCCAGGTGATTGGGATGCCTGTGGAAGGCACCCTTGCAGCCAGGGTGAAGTCAGTGTTAAGGTGGTGTTACCAGCAGGTTTCTGTGTGTGTGAAATTGCCTTACAAGAGGATAGGCTCAGTGTCCACACCCTTGGGATCAGGAGCAGTGCTCAGGCACTGTTGGATGTGCTCCCTAACTGGTCTGCAAACAAGGACTTTACTCTGAGCTGGATTCCTCCTCCACTTTTTCCTTCTTACAGAGTCAACCATGAGGTCCTACATACTCTTTTTACCCCTCGTACTATCAAATTTTTTCAGAGCTCTCTCAGGTAGCAGGCTTGAATGATCAGTTGGAATAACTGATAGCTCATCATATTTGTGAGCTATATGGTACATATTTGTACCATATCTGTAGTACATTGTGTTCTCCATAACAACATTACCTCCTTTTCCTTCTCCTGTATGAACAGGTCATCTTCTGCCTTATTTTGACTACAATGTCAACAACAAATTGGAGCCAGGGGCAGAGCTGTTAAGTCCTGATAAGCTAACTGAAGTGTGACTTTCTTAGATATGAGGCAAATGTTTCTACCCCAGAGGAGATCTGTTATTTTATTTTTCCTTAAGCTAATTGGAGGTTTGTTTTGCATTGTCTCAGCATGGCAGTTTAAGCACTAATCCTGTCACACAACTCCCATAGATTTTAACAAGAGCATACCACACCTGAAAACACTGAGATCTGTGAGTGATGCTTCTGCTGGAATTCATGCTTACCACAGCTAACTAGCTAAATACAGGGGATTCAAGGAGAGGATTAAAAATGTCCTGTCTGGCAGAAATTGCTACAGGCACTTGTATTAACTGGATTACTAATCTCCATAAAGTACTTAATAGCTAAATAGCGTTTTCTGTATTTTCAGAGATAGTATTCTCAAAGACGTCTGATTTTCCAAAGGGAACAAAAAATGTCACTGAAGCATTTCCATTAAGGAGAAGACAGGACCCCCAGGGTGTTAATCCAGCTCTTTGAGAGGTTGAAAATCTTAGGAAGTAAGCAGAGCACAAGCCACTGTCAAAGTTCTGGCAATTAATTTTCTTTTCTCTCCCTTGCTGCATTTTACTAACTTGACTATTGATAATATACATGTTATTTTAATGGTCATGTCCAACATAACAAAACAGTCATGAACTATATTTGAGTTAGTCTTTATAATGTATAAGTTCTACAAGTCTTACCTTTAAAAAATATAAGGTCTTTGGGCTATCCTTCGACACTGGACAGCTCTATCTTTTTCTATAATATAAAAAATAAGTGGCACTAGCTGATGAATTGACATCCAAACAAGGAGAGCTTCTTAAGGAGAGTTGCTACAATGTTCATCATCATGAAGGACCCTTCAGTGCAGAGCTGCTTGACCCACCTCTGCAATGCTTCCTCAGCCAGGTTTCTTATGCAATATTTTTACTCACTGATTATAAAGATTTGGCTGAATAAGGATTGTATAATCTACATACTAAACTAAGGAAACTACCTTATTTATAATATTGTTGCTTATTCAGATTGTCAGAGGTGTTGGTAACATGACAAATATTCCCACTCTGTAGCTATTAACAGTAAGGTTAAAGAAAGCAGCCTGCAAAAACACCTGTACAGGAGCTGTTGAGATAAACTGAACCTAGATCAGTAGGATGTTGCTATGGGTAATGTAAGGGTTAAAGTGGATGTGATTTGGAAAGATTTGCACAGTGTGGCCAGCATTTGACAGAATTTCCAGTTATCCAGCAGCATCTACCTGATAATCTCAGTGTCTTACAGCACACAGGCAGTTTTCTGCTACTGGAAGTCACAAAAGTAAAGTGCCTTGTGTGGGAAATCAAAGCTTCGAAAATCAGGACAACAGAACCTCCATTTATAAATGAAAGGCAATACATTTTCCATAATTTTACCTTATCAGGAATTATTTTCGAGCAAGTACATGATCCTCTATCCCACTGCTTTAGTTCTGCTCAGACACTGTGAAAAAGAACAAGGAAACACTATCAAGCTGATACTTCGAGCTGAAGGCAAGCAATGGCAGTAACAGGCAAGGAAAGTGCAGCAGTGGAGTTGCAGCTTTGCTTTCAAGGGCATGTCATGCAAGGTAACTGAAAGTATGAATGGACACAGAACAACTTAGTCAAATTAGATTAGAGCAAAGCCTGTCAATAAACAAGATCTTAGGACAAGAAAATGAGGAGAATTAACAAAAGGAAACAAAACATTCTTTAAAGAGAAGAAAAGGTATGATATTGGGAGCAAAATGAAACAATAATTAAATCAATGCTTTTAGAAAAAGTTCTGGTGCTTTTTAGCTATGCAGCTCAGATCCCACATGAAAGGACTACATCTGGACCTACAATCTCTGCTATAATTTCTCATTAGTATCATAGATCTTTTACTTCTCCAGTAATATTATTAGAAACAACAATAGAAGTAATAATGTGTGTTCAGGGTTGGTAGAAGCTTCAGATATTAAACAATATGCTTTTTTTGGAGCATTTTAAATTCTTATCCTGGTATTCACAACCCTTTTAGACAATCAAAGCTATGAAAATATTGGTTTTTCTTTTCTAGCTAGGTTTGGTCACCTCCTGAAACATTCAGTGTTTAGTAGACAATGTAAAGAAGGTTTGATCACTCCATCTCCTGCTCCACTACTCCACCTCTCTGGGCTAAAACTCCAAGCATTGCATTCCTTATAAAAGAGACATGCCTCTGCCTAAATGTTACCTCCCATCTGCTTTCTTTTTAATAACTTCCCAGATTCCAAGTTACCTGTTACAACTCCAATTTGTCAATACAAATGCACTCAGGAAGCGGCATCAATGTGAACTCAACAAGATCCTATAATTAAGGATATATCTAGGTTAAATAGTAATAAGGATAAATCCTATAACAGGACTTAAATGTAGGAGTATGAACCTTCAGGACTCTGACTTAATTAAGGAAAAAAAAATAAAAGGTTATCTATTGTTTCACTATCTTGAATCTATGCAGGACAGAGCTCCTGGTGACTGGCTCTGGATCAGCACTTAGCTCCACCCAAGAAATCTCCCAGAGATTGAGTGCAGTCTGGTCCATCAAAGCCAGGAAACCAGAAGGAAACTGTTCAGACTGTTGTATTTGTCCTTAACATTTTGTGACTTCACTCTTATGTTTTATCAGTACATTGTATTTTTGCATAAACATTCCCTTTGGGCACCTGGATTTCACAGCAATGGGATCTTTTCAAAGTACATCATCCAAAGATGTCATGCTTGCTTCAAACTGTTTGTAGATGAAACAACAGCTGTACAAGAAGCACAATGAACAGCTAAACAGGGTAATAGGCAGATTATCTTTTCATGTAGTAAGCAGCAATCACAGTAAAGCAAGTGCTTTGTTAAAGGAAGGGTAGCAGTACATTATAACAAATGATTCTTTATTTCACAAACTCCTGCCACTCCTCTGTGTCAGCTCCTCTGTGCCTTTTTCAAGGTGCTTGAGGACAGAAGGTGAGTGACATGTGAGCTAGAAAATATGTGGGGTAAACCATGGTTCTTTTCTTTTTTATTTTGCTCTGGCTTTGATTTTAACCAGTTTTTTGCCTGGGTCAGTAAATATCCTCAAGTTTATTGTTGAACCTCAATGCTTTCTCTTCCGCAGTAAGGTGCAGTTTGACCTGTTAGCTTCTCCTTTCAGTAGATGTTTATGTGAAAACCTCAAAACATCAGCTGCACAGCACTCTGAGATAAAATATCCCTTGATGAGAGAAACACGTAGCAATTATGCCTCATAAAGTATAAGTTTCAAACTCCAAAACATTGGCATGGGTATACATTCTATTCTTTGTGAGGCCACCTCCTCATCTAGGTTCTGTTATCTGCTTGCAGACTGATCTCATTTTGGTTTTAAAGAAGGAAAAGTGAGTAAAGTAATTGAGACAGTGATAATTTGCAACCCATGCCAGATAAGCCAGTTCTTTGGAGTTGTTGCTTTTGTGGTAGGTGAGGGGGAAGGTTTTAGGTGATGAAGCAGTGTTTCTGCTCCTGCAGAAATGTTTTGTTCATTTGGTGCCAGTTGAATGTTGGTCCCTTCATGCCATCAGTCTCTCTACAACCTCTCTGTCCCAGTGGGGAGCAGTGAGAGTGCAAAAATCTGAATTTATATATCTCTTTTTTGTAATTCATTAAAGGTGAGAAATGAGGCCTCTGTGAATTGAATTACACTGATGCAGAATACTTTCCAGCAGTTTATAAACCTGTCCCCTAGGGTTTCAGTATTAGCCAAAAGAGGACATGCATTTTTTTAATCTTGCTTTTCCAGATCCTCAGAAAATAAAAATTGCCACAACAAATATATTTTTTCTTTCTACATCATGGCATTTCAACAAAATATCCATGTCATTTGTATCAACATATAGAAAATTATCTGCTTGACTGTTGAGGTGGGATGATATTTAGTAATTGTTCTTGTCTCCATGCTGCTGAGCAATTTAAATCATCTTTCTTTATTGATGGATCATGTGAAGACCTAAGAAAAATATCACTGTGCTGCACCTGAATTTTTTATAAATAAATAACAGAAAATGGGCTAATGATATTGTTTCTTACAGTAATTGCATCAATTAAAATAATGAAACACTGTGGGAGCTTAATTTCTAAAGTTCTTATTTAAAACCTAAAGAAAGTCACTGTGGGCCTAGGGCTCTCTCTCATGTGGTTTACATAAATTTGGAATATGGGAGGGTTTCAAAGCACTTATGCAACAGCAATTATGTATTTAATTACTCCCTTCTATTAGATCCTGTTGTTAAATCCAGTTCATAATGAATGAACATTCTGATCTATCAAGGCAGGAGCTTCAAACCATGCCAGACCAAACAACTTGCTTAGGCAGAGGTCATTAGTTGGAATAGTAACCCTTGTGGTTTTTACATATATGTAATATATAAACTCTAGTAATGGGGGGGAAATGGGGGTCTTGGTTGCTCTGCAGTCCTAAGAGCAAGTCCAGCTCCACCAAGCACTGCAACTGATCAGTTCTTACATGCACTGAGTTTTGAGTCCATGATAGTCAGGCAAGTGGCACTAGCCAGGCTCACAACAAGGACTGCATATATGGACTGTGCAACTTCTCATAAAAATAACCTCTGAGTTTGAAGAGCCCACCCTAAATAGATCACCTTTCCTTCTGTGAGATAAAATACTCATCTTTAGCAAGATCTAACATAGTTTTCACCCTGAGGCCACTAACAACATAGGATTCAGAAGTTTATATATTGACCCATACCACAAAATAAATTTTTAACTGAGTATTAACTGGAACATGGTAAGCTCTCTTCAGTAAATTAGGTTTGTATTGAATAAAATGGCTGACATGGAAGTCGCATGAATTTCTTAGTGAGTTTGCTTTAAATGTGCCTTAGGAGCTCAGTAACATAAATCACAGGACTTCCATTATTTAATTTTTAATCTCAGCTTTTAATAGCTTCATAATTCACTGTTGTTTTTAATTGCCATTCATATCTCCAACAACAAAAAATAGGCTCAAAGAAAAAGAAATCAAGCATCAGAACCTGGTTTTGATTTAGAAACATTCATAGTACTAAAATAGAACAGTTGCTCCTAGCTAAACTGTTTGAATTATACATTAATTCGTTTCCTCTGGTTTCCGTAGTGCTATTTTGGAATATTTTTTCAACCATTGATTTACATTTTATGTTCCAGCTGAAATTCCATTTTTATATTCAAAGATATTGGGTCAGCTATATAATTTATTAATTCATCAAAGTAAACACCATATTCTACCAGAAGTGTCTTGTGTTGGCTGCTCACTGACTAGCAAGTGCCACAGGGACAATGAATCAGAACATTTCTGGGGCATCTGCAGAAATCTAAGATTCAGCAAAGCAAATGTAAACCCCAGTGTGCTGTGGGTGAGAGCCAGCCAAGAGGCATGTCAAAGTCCAAATGGCATCCTGAGGCAAATATGCATGCTGTTAACTATGCCACTTTGGTTTATGAGAAGAAATAAACTCATAATAATAATAATAATGCTTTGTCAGTCATTCATTTTTCCAAATCTAAACTGCAGCTGATCAATCTTACAGTACTATAGAAGCTAGAATGCATTGGAAAAATTCCTGATCTACTTCAGTGTGAGTACAGCCAAGACAAACTGTTCCCTGCAAAGGAACAACTTGATTTAAATTTTGCATTTCCTTGAGACCAGTAGTGCTACACCTGCTTTCAGCTCACACTTTTATGTTACACAAGTAGCACGACACAAAGAGAAGCCTCCTTTTAATGTTTTGTCCCAAGATTTCCCTTTAGCACTGCTTTCCTACTCTGGAGCTGGGCAGAAAGCAGCATGGAGAGGGGTGAGGGAAGGCGCCACCCTACACATCCAGAGTCCCCACTGCCAAAACACTGGGGCACCATCTCCACAGGAGCACCCAGTTTGGATCATTCTCCTTTGCAACACTGACTGTAGTTTTGGATCAGACACTCGGCAGAGACTAAACACAACTGCTTCAATGTCAGAAGTTAATCATGATGGATTAATTAATTAGTAATTAACCTGCTGTCATCCCTCTTCGTTCCTTCTCATCAGGACATCTTCCTCCTTCATCTGCAGCAGAGTTCAGCTGAGGCAGAGCAGAGCAGAATGCAGACATGTAGCTTGCACAGCTACAGTGGGAAGTAGATGTGGGTACATCTATGTATATACACAAAGACATATGTTTTAAATAATGTATATACATAGAGATATATATATACACTGAATAGTTGTCTCTATAAATAAATAGTGTAAAGAAATGCAATATTTACAGATAAATTTAAACCATAAGCTCTCTCTGTCCAGAATCTAAACAGCTTTTCTGTCAAAATCAGAGATTAAAAAAAAATACGGCTGTATTGCCACCTGGAGGATCTGTGTGTCATGACTGGCTCCCCAGGACAAGATGTAAGTAGTGTCTCTGAGCACAAGGGTTTAACTGTAGAGGAATGAAGTTCCTGGCACTGAGGTTATCATTAGGGGTAATTTGAATCAGCTAATTGTGCAGTTACACCTTTTATCAGTCTCAGTCTTTGTACCAGAATAAGTAGCTCCAAAACCTGGACACTTAATTTATTTTTACACTCTAGAGATGACATGTCTGAGCCTTCAAAATAAACTCCTGAATGTCTCTTGGTAAAAGGAAGAGGCAAGAGGGATGATGCTGTCAATGGAAGTGCTTCCTTTCAGCTTTTTTTCCTTTGATTTCGACTTGCAGCTCTAGGACCCTCCTAATTTTTAGAGTTAGGAAAATGTGAAGAAAGCTCTATTTCAAAACCAAAGATTAATTCTAAAATTGAACCTGTTTCATTCACACTGAGGAAATCTAAAAGCCTGAAATAAGATCCTGACAAAAGTAAGTGTTCTTGTCCAGTCTCTTCACCCTTCTCCCTGCTGCCAGGGGCCACCAAAGGGAAGAAATGGTTCCTTTAGTGAAAATGATCCAAGTGTGAGGCATAATATCCCTTGGAGTAGAGAAAGCATGATCATCCCAGCATGGGCTGCACAAAGTGGATTCATCTTCTACTTATGTATCTATAGGCACCTCGCCAGTGCTGTCCTGAGTGCACTGAGGATTTTTTAGCCACAGTATTGCTGCAGACTCAGGATGTCAGGAAGGGACAGAGGCCTCATCACACTGTCCTCCTCACCTGAATGAAGCAGCTTTGCTGTTTCTCCTACACCCGATGAAGATCTGCCCCGAGGATGGTTTCACTGAGGAGCAGCAGGGACCTGTGGATATATTCTTACCAGGTGTGGAATGGGTGTTCTGAGTCCAGGAGCCTGGTTAATAGAGAGAGACAATACACACCGAGCTGGTAACTGCAGTACACGGGGCACTCTGAGCCTTTCCCAGGAGGGGAAAGAAATGACTGCCGTTTCCCAGAGCAGGCATTAGGCTTTGCAGGCCTGCCGGAGCTGTCGCAGAGTGCCACCAAGGCAGCAGAAGCGCTCAGCCACGCTGGCCAGGCAGGCACGGCCAATGCGGCTCTGCCCTGCCGGGGCTCAGCAGCCAGGGCAGATAACTCCTGCAGGAGCTGGAGCAGTGTGCCACAAATGATGCTGCCTTCCAGCTCTGTGCAGAGGGAGAGGAACAAAGGGAGGAAGGGCAGCGTTTTACCCCGCTTTACTCCCTGCCCTGCTGGGAGGCCCTGGCAGCGCACCCCGGGTGCATCGGGCCAGGGGACAGCCCGACCCTCATGGCACCCGGGCACTCACCTGCCAGCCTCAAACCCCTCATGGCACCCGGGCACTCACCTGCCAGCCTCAGAGCCCTCATGGCACCCGGGCACTCACCTGCCAGCCTCAGAGCCCTCATGGCACCCGGGCACTCACCTGCCAGCCTCAAACCCCTCATGGCACCCGGGCACTCACCTGCCAGCCTCAGAGCCCTCATGGCACCCGGGCACTCACCTGCCAGCCTCCCGACCTGGCAGCCGAGTCCCGCCCCAGCAGCACCAGGTTCTGCAGATCCCTGGTCTCCTGTGCCCCCGCATGGCCACTCGGAGAAGTGCAGGTCTGGGGAGGCACTCCCATGCTCTCTCCCTGTCAGAACAAGGAGAAAAATAAATAAAATTAAGGCGGCTGTAACAGTGACAGCAAAATGATGATCAGCCACCACTTGGAATTACAAAAATCCCTGAACCCGCACATAGACAAATGTGCTCACTTGTTGGTTTTCCCATTATAATTTTTGTTGTATTATATGTTCTTGCTTAGGGCAATGAGCCTTTTAACAACTGCTCTTTCAGAAGAAGAAGTAACTTCAGTTCCTGATCATTAGCGAAACACTTATTTTCTGTATTGTTATGTCTGGACAAATGGCAACCATTCCTAAATATGTCTTTATAGCACTAAAAATAATATTTTAAAAATAATGTTAACTGAAAATAATGCTAAGTAAAGCAGTATCACATACTGTTATATTCTAATTCCCCAGAAAAGAGATTCCAGCAGCTGTAGCACAGTAGCTGAAACATAGCATTTTTCTTTGTGTTAACCTAGACATTGCAAAGGGATAGCCAGCCACAAAAGATGCTTCCCTCCAATTATTGTACTTATCTAGGAAATAATCTGAAAAGGGCCATCTGACAGGCAGAATGCCATCTTTCTATTGCTAAGCAACCCCTGATACCTCTTTTCAGGAGGAGTGATCAGCTTCCTGAAGAGCACACAGCTGAATTTTAAAAAGCCTTTTTCCTTCTATATTTCTTTTATTCTCTCTCTCTCATTTTCTTTTTTCTTTTTCTTTTATTTTTAACTTCACAAAACAACTACTGATTGTGCTATAATGACAAAAAATAGGACTGGGAAGATCTTACTAGGCAAAAGATGAGCAAAATCTGACCTGAAGTCTGCAGTCAATGAGACAAAGTTGATAATGATGGCACAAGTGACCTTCCACTGTAGCTGACAAAGGTGCTAAAGAAAATTAAATACACTACTCTATGCAGAAAATTCGAGTTGGGAAAAAAAGTGAGAGAAAACTCGTAGGTAGACTACATGCTCTTTATGTTATGCTTTCCCACTCCTTTTCTTCCCCTTAGTTTTATTTTCTTCTAGCTCTTATTTGGCAACAATACAGTAGCATATGTTGAGATTGAACACATATTCGTACCTGCTTTTGTTGCTTGCTAAGGCCCTTAGTACTACCTTTTTGCTGGTTCTCTGTTTTCCTTTCTCCTTGTCTCTGGGATCACAGGTTTCACAGCAGCTATTTACTGCTTTTCCAACTTCTCTCACTTAACTAAGCAAGGATACTTTAAATTGACAATATATCTATAGTGGTGTCTTGAAACAGTGGTACTTTTTTTCAGTGTGATAAAGTGCTCTGTTTCATGGTGGCTGTTTTCTCATCGAACCTTTGTGTTACAACACGCAGAAAGAGGTTTCTTGTGCATGCAGGTGTTGCCTTATTCTTTTTCTCCTAACCAGAGAGGATCTATGAGTGCCCACACTGATCTTTTCGGTTGATGCAGATAGCAAAGGACTCTGTCAAAATTTTCTCCAAACAGATCCAGTTCTCCCACCAGTGAATAAAGGTCATTGCACAAGATCTTCCTTTTTCCTGCTTGCCCTCTCTCTGTCTGGATAGTCTGAGGTCAACCTATAATCAAGAAGCTCAGTTTAACCTCTTAAATTTGATGGCCACTCAGCTGACATCACACTATAAATAAGGACATTCTTTCCCAGTCTCCCAACCTCAAGCACATACTGAAGATACAATCTAGCTCAGACACACTAGTGCACAATTAAATCCATTGCCTCACATTTATCAGTAGCAATACAGAAATTTTCAGATACCCATACAGATGTTGAGTAGAAACCATTTCACTGAACAAGATCAGAGCTGGAATGAAAAAATACCCACACAGGATGTATATGCAGTTATCTTTCCAGTTACAATGAGTACCGGGATTGAGTATGGCTTGAGCTTCACTGCTCTTTCTCTTTCTGTGAATAATGATAGTAAAAGCACCTGTCAGTATAAGGGTGAATACCAGTGTGGTGGACAAAGCAACTGCTGAAATGATGGTCAGTTTAAGGACAGTTTGAACGTACATAACTGAGATAAATTCATCAGGTCAATTAGGCAAAGAAATAATTAACACATCAGAGAATGATGCAAGGGAAAATTCCTGGTGGGGAGGAATCTGAAAGGAACCAGAGGGTTTTGTGGTGCAGGGTTATCCCCTGTGGAGAATTGCCTTTATGAAACCACAATTTTCTCAACAAGGATCTCCCACAGGGGAGAAAGAAATCTTCCTTTTGTAAAAGACTTCAAAATAATTCAAGCTGTCTGCCAGTAATTAAATCCATTACACTAGCAACAGGTGGTAAAGCTGTAATTTTTTCACATCTGTTATCATTTTCCTGAGTCAGTATGTATTCATTGCAAGAGCTGGGTAAACCACAGAGCAGAGAGGGCTGGGTTGATGGCTGTCGTCCAGGCAGCCGCTGTGCTCACTCCTGTAGTTATCTGAAGAGCTGAACAGAGGAGATGTGAGAATATCTGGTAGGCAGGAAGGGGTTTGGGCAGGATTCCAAAGGGTAGGAAGGCAGGGATTTAAAAGGGAGTGAAAGGATTTCATAGGTTCCTTATAGAGAATAATAGGAAAGAAAAGGAGAACCTTGGTTGTGTTTAGAGCATTACCTTGATATACTTTCCCTAACACAGAATTTCTGTGTGGCTTGGAATATATTCCTTGGTTGTTCTGGCTTAGTAAATTTAAAAACTAAAATCCCTGAGAAAATTCATAGTCACTGAGGACAACAGGCGTAGGACAGTTCACATATATGTAAGTGATTTTACCTCAGTCTCCAAATTACAATTTGTATATGATTGTATTACACAATGCATTTGTGCAAACTGACTGCTGGGAATAGTGTGACACAATGAAGAGGTCTGGGTATGTTGCAAGAAGAATTCTATTGAAAAGCATACAAAGACTAAAAACTCTTTTAATGTAAAGAACACATGTAATAGCTCCAGCTCTGGGAGCTCTGTAATGCAGCAGGTTGTACATCTCACTCTTATATTAGAGTAGGAAAGAATCTTGCTACTGGGATGTGCAGTGTCCTCACTGCTCTGGAGAGCAGCTGCAGCTTTTTACTTCACTTCAGGATTCCTGACTTCCCAAGAACATTTTCCATGCCTTTCCCACCTTTCTCCAAACACCACTCCTTCTTTAACTCAGAGGGGAAAGGCTCTGTCATTTCAGCTGTCTTTTCTGAATACTGGCAATAAGTATGTGTGGAGAGATGAGAGACATTCACAGTCAATTTACATCCAACAGCAGAGACATAAGGTTTCAGGTTTTGTTTAGCACATGCTGCCTTTATACCTCTCCTCAAAAACTGGCTTCTTCTCCAGTAGCTCCTTGCATGGTGGTATAAAGGATTGCATTGAGCTATAGTTTTGTAATGAGTAAATAATTGTTCACTTAAAGAATCCTAAAAAAGCCAGTTAAGATCAAAAATATATGTAATTGAATTATTGCTGGAAGAATTTCTTTAATTATATCTTGTTCCATGGCAATGAATAGATTACTGTAAATATTTTAAAGAATCTTCATTTAACTCTACTGGAATTTGAACTAACAAAATTTTGCAGGTTGTTTAATGTTAATAAACAAGGCTGTTTGGCTGAGATCCATGGCAAGGGGCAGGGTTTATCCAGCAGATCTTTGCTTTTCTGGAAGCTCTCCCATGGGCAGAGCCACAGACCACTCAACTCCTAACCACATCCTCATGGAATTGTGTTACTGTAAACATATGGCCAAACAACCATCAGGGATCATATCTTTTCTTAATTAATAAAATTAGACACAGGATGTTAATAACCCTTAAACTGTCTAAAACTCCAAACAATTATTGTGGAGTTCTGGATGGAGATAAAAATGGGTGCAGACCAAGTCAGTCCAGGCATCCTTCCCCACTTTTCTTCCGCCCTTTCATATCCTCGACCTTGGAGCTGGGCCTTTGCCATCAGTGCAGGCAGCCCCCCAACTCAGCCATTCTTGCCCAAAGGCACCCCAGAAGTGCTCAAGGTCCACAGGCACCAGAGCATCATCACAGATCCTGGTGTGAATGCCCTTTCCAGATGTGGGTGACTGACATCTCTGCCAAGGCAGCAGCAGGGTCTCCAAGCAGCCTCATCTTGTTATTCCAAGGAGAAAAGAAGCAGTAGAAAGGAGGGACTCCCTGATGTCCAGTTCCCCCATTCTCAAAAATTGGATAATTAGCCCTTATTTTGTGTAAGAGCATTTGCCCACAGAATGCCATAGTCATGATTCAAGTGTGGTTCTTCACTGAAATAATTAACTTCGGAGTTTCATGTGATGGCACTGGCTGATACAGGGAGTCTCCAGATTTGTAGAGGAATAAACCAAAGCATTTTTAATGAGTTTTGGGGAGGGGTAATTTATTTGGGAGGTTTGGCATTTTATTTGATTATTTGTCTAAAAGGCTCATATGATGGATTTAGTCTTGAATGTTGCTCAGTGATTCACTGACTGCTGTCCAGAGCACTCTTTGTAACTGATTTATCTGAATCCTCTTCAAATCCTTCCCTTTATTAACATTTCAGCAGTTCCTTTGCTACGTGAATTGATGATAGTTATGTGTTACTCAGGAAGATTGTAGGAAAATGGTTTCAAACACCATGATTACATATTGAGCAGATGAGCTGTCTCGGGTTTATGTCACAGCCCATCTGCTTGTTTGAAACGGGCTTCCTGCACTATGCCACTTCCTTGACCTTTCTAGAGTGTTATTTCACATGCACACTCTAAAGTTTGCATTTCCTTCTGTAAATGTAATTTTAATCTCATTCTATTTTGGCAGCAGATACTGTTGCGATAAAAGCTGTTCATTCTTTATCCCACTATCTTCAGTGTGGAAGCTGA